TTAGTTTTGATGATATCAAATAATAGCGCAAAAAGTTTGCATAAATTATTTATCATATTTTGACTAACTACTGTACTTAATATCTTGTGTAGGTTCCTTAAGAAAAGAAAAGAGTTATATGTTAAACTTTGAGTTATGAAGATATGATCAAAAGGAAGAAGAAGAAGAGAGATTGAGAAAAGAAGAACATACAAGATCAAATGGAAATATCAAGATTCAAATTCATAGATTTGACATTGGAGGTTGCTAAGCTAAAATACACAAACAGAAAGTTATACCATCGTATATTAATTCACCCTTCATATAAATATTAAAAATAAGCTTCAGAGATAATTTTCATGGGCATTGATCGATCAACAACTCGATCAGACACTTATCGATCAATTTATCAAGTAAACATACACTCTGTTATGTTATGTTCTTCATCAGCTCTGATATAGGTTTGCTATTTCTCTAATATCTCTTAAACCACACATCCGCTTAAGGTGAAACTTGATTCATATGAAACTAGACTCAAAACACAGTTCATAGACACCAAGATCAGCTCCAAAAAGTTTCATAGGAGAGAGATATGTTGTTTGAAACATTGCAGTTGGGTTTAACACCTTTATTCTGACCTTCAGTCACTATGATGAAGACAACTTTGTGGCTACAATGAATTTTGGGATGGCTCTTGTTGCATTAGAAAGCACACTCAAAGAGCTTTCTGGGCATAGGTCATTTGCAAAATTTGGAGTTGAATTGGAAGATTCATGATCACTCAAAGTTGACTTTCATTTTGCTTGAATCAGAATTTGAATTGATTGGAGCAAAGACCAAAAGTTCTACATAAATTGATTAAGCTCTTGAGAAACATGCTACTCAAACATGTTATTGAGTAAAAGCACTAGAAGAAATGAGAAAATGAAAAGTCATTACCAGATGTTACTCGAGCCTAATCAAGCAACTACATACTCGATCACTTTATTGAGTTCCTGGTACTATCTCTTCAATTTTTCTCTTTTATCTTCATATGCATTACTAAGGTGCTCAAACTATAATCTATCTTTGAAAATCTGAAAGCACAAGTAATTAATAACATTATCAATTAAAGGTTAATCAATAAAGTTATCAAGGTATTGAGGAATATTTTATTTTCTACATCTGAAACTTTATCGATAACATCATTGATAACACTAGTTGAGCATAAGTTGTTGCAGCAAATTATCGATCATTTAATCAATAATTTATTGTTTGATAAACTGTCAGAAAAGAGCCATAAAATCACCTAATCGATAAAGCTGTTATCGATGAAAGCCTTCCACTGTGGACCGAGACTACGCAAAGGTAGAACACCATAGAAACTTCGCTTACTTTATCATAAACCTTGATTTTGCTACGCTCACTCAGATAAATGGTAAAGTCTCTCCATTTGCTTAATATTCTGAACAATTCTTCTTTTATTGATCACTTAATCAATTAGACCTTTATTGATAACTTGTTCGAATATTATACATCATCTTACTTCTGGTTAATCGATAAAGTGTTATGTCAAAAGCATTCGATCAAAATCTTTATGGATCAATTGATCGATCAAACATTTATCGATCATTATCTTCACTGCATTAACTTATTTTGAACCATTTTTTTTATCACTTGATTGATTATTGGTTTATTGATTAAATGATTGATCATCCAATTTTCTGAAACTTCTGTTTCACATAACGTGATCGAATAAGGTTTTTCCTGGCCTTTCTGAAATAAGTTTTCAACGATAATTTATTGATCAGTTAATCGATTAATCTTTAATCGATCATTTACTCGATCATCGTATATTTTGTGACTACACTATGAAAATCTTTGTTAAACTTTTTTATCTATAAGTTTTCCTATCAACCATTTATTGATAAAGTATTTGATCAATACACTTTGAAATCATATTTCTCTTATACTTAGCTTTATCGGTAATATGATCGATCAAACATTTTTTTGATTATTGAATCAATTCATTTCATAACAGCTATTCACGATGTTCTTCAAAATCTTTCATCTTTTTATCTTTAAGCTTTTCTCAGCCTTCTTTTTACACATAACTCTCTATTGAAAGGATATGAAGGCAAATATAACTTGAAAAAGTTTATTCTTGCATAAATCATTTATGGCTCACTGTATTCATGTTTCACTATTTATCGATCAATTGTTCTATCATTAAATGATCCATAAATTACTCAATAAATGCATACATCTGTTAAGTCTATTTCTCCTGTAATTAAGCAATAATATGATCGATCAAGGCATCGATCAAGTAAGTTCATCTTACTTTTTGAATATCTGAATATCTGATGATTGATTCCATGTTTTTCAACTTATTGTTTCTACGATTATCATATATTTATCACTTGATTTGAGAAAGATTATTTTAGGTAAAGAGCTACAACAAATTTATGATGTGAAGAATCGACTTTTGTCAGGAGCTTCCAATAGCTAGTTTCAACGGTCATATTCTTCGAGCCAAACAGGAAGAAGATGCTCAACGGTCAAATACCCAACATCATCTATAAATAGAAGAGCATTCAAAATGAGAAAAGAAAGAAGAGTCTGAGCTTACAATATCAAATGCTAAAATACCGAATCAACATATTCTCATTTAGAGCTCCGAGAGAAAACCCCCTTTCTTTGTACTTCAAAAACTATAACTTATGTATTTGTAAGATAGAGAGGAGAGTTTCTCAAACATGCTTAAAATTCATCTATCACTTCTTTGAGAGAAGAAATATTCAATCTTCATTATCATTATCAGATTGTATCCCTACAATGTGTAAGGGAGAGTATTTACCTCAGTGTAAGGTTGCTATTGAATAGACTAATTAGTCTAAGGATTGTAAGTAGCATCACAAATGCCCGAATCAAACTTGTGGTTATAGTGGTTCTCAAGTACCCATGTTAAACTTGAGAGAGATAGTGGATTGAAAATCTCAGGAAGAGCCTAGGGAGTGAACGTAGGTCAGTGAGGACCGAACCAAGATAAATCACAGTTTGCATGCTCTCTTCCCTTACTTTTTTATATTTCTAGCTAAACCATTTTACTACTGTGATTATGCTTATGTCAATTCATGGTTTATATGCTCATAATTTCTTATGAATTTCATTACATTGCGAAAAGGTTTTTAATTTTAATTAACACCCAATTCACCCTCCTCTTGGGTGATCAGCTATTTTTACAAATTTGAATCGGTCAATTGAAGATAAGAGGTCACTATTTATGATAGAGGTCCACTAGCATTAATTTTCTAAACATTAGACAAGTCTTTCCTATTTTTTAAATGCTTTTCAATTATATTTTTAATCCTCTAGTTAGCTCAATTCTAGACTAGTATGTGACTGAATATGTATTGCTTATTTTATTAAATATTCTCCTCAACCATTAAATTTTATAGAATATTAGCAGTGTTTTGTTCTCATTTTATACTTTCAAGATTGTACATACCATCATAACACACAACTTATGATCTTAACCCTTCATTTATACCACATGACTCGTAACTTATCATGTATGGTGCTAACCATCCCAAACTGACTAACCAACTAATCTCCATTTGTTTATTATTACCACTATTACTATTACTAACAGATAAAATATGAGGAAGGTTATTGTAATCTTACCCCTTTATTTATACAATATGATTCGTAACCAATGAACAAAAAACCGACCCGAACCGGCCGGTTTAGACCGGAAACCTATGAATCAGCCACTGATTCGGTTTGGTTCATCAATAAAACTGGTGGGAGATCAAACCAAAATAAACCGAAACAAACTGGCATCAAACCGGAAAAACTGCCAGTTAGGTTGGGTTGTTCGGATCATTGCTAAAAAAATCGCTCAAGGAAAAAAAAACATAGAAATCTGATGAAAAATAAAAGGTTAATGGATAAAGAAAGACAAGAGAGGAGGAAGAAGAGAGCCGAAAGGAGGAGAGGTAGAATACCTGTCAAATCTGAAGGAAGAAGAAATGAAGGTGAGAAGGAGAAAGAAGGACAGTGTCCGAGAGGAAGAGGCAGGAGCTTGCAATCATTTTTTGCAGTTAGAAGGTAGAGCCTGAGGTTGTTTTCCCTTTTGAAACATAGAAGAAGAAGAAGAAGAAACTACTATACATGAAAATGGTAGAATTCTTCAAAGAGAGAGAGAGAGAGTGGCGGAAGGAGACAAATGAATTTGAAAAAGAAAAGAAAGAGGAGAAAGAGATGAAGGAAGGGTTTAGAGAGAGAAAAAGAGGGAGAACCATAGAAGAAGAGACAAATGAATTTTAAAAAAGAAAAGAAAGAGAAAAAATTTGAAAGGTGCCGTATGCCTATGCCGTGGAACTAAAAAAAATTGAAAGGATAGGGAGACTTAGCATGCCTGTCAGTGTTTCTCTTATTTCTTTCGTTTTTTAAAGACTTGTATTTAATTTTTTTTATCTATTATCATATATAAATACATATTATATAATTATATAATTGATAAAATAAGATGAAAGTCTGGCCAAATTTCGTAGCTTTTTTTATTTTTCACAGTGATATTATTTATAAATTTTATTCTATTTTAATGTTATGAATTAAATTATATTATTTTAATATGATTGGTTTGATTCCATTCTAACCCTAGTCAGACCAGTAAACCTTAACCCACTGTCTCAACCGCTTTGATTTCCGATCCGGTTTTTGTTCCTTACTCGTCACTAAACATGTACGGTGCTAACCATCCCAAACTGACTAACCAAGTAATCCCCATTTATTTATTTATTACTACTACTACTATTAGATGACAGACACGAGGGAGGTCCACCGTAGGGGGTAAAAAACTCATCTAGGAGCCGTAAAATGAAGTCGTCATACACGGTATTAAATGAGAAATGAGAGATCCTCTCTTCTTTTTGTCAAGCATGACAACGTAAGCTAACCCATTTTTAATATAAATTCCTCGTTTATATTTCAACTGAACCCATTTTATTAAATGAGTCGCGCGTGCCAAGGAGCTCGAATCGTTGAAAAATAGGATGAAAGTAATAAACCACTCAGACATAAAAGCTGTTGGGAAACCCCCCATGGGATTCTCAAAGCAATAGACTTGGGGGCTTCTCAAGTAATGATACTAATATGATTCACGTAATGTTACAAACCCTGGCGTCCCTCCATTGTTCAGAGTCACGCCACGTGAGACAACTTTGTGCCAAGGACAGGACCAAAACATATCCCATGAAATACTTCCAAGTGACAAGAAAATTAGAAATATATATAGAGACAGGCCTTAACAAGAAGAAAGACCCACCCTCTTCAAAAGATTACAGATTTGGACATGGACGCTTGCTACCGCTGTGCCAAAACTCACGTGTTTTCCATATATGCCTATGCCTATGCCTATGCCTCCTATGCATACTCAAATTGCATAATATCAACCGCTACCCTCTTTCCTCACTCTAAATGAAACTTAGTAGTCATGAGAAGAAATGAATGGAATACACGATTAGGAAGAGCCATTTATTGGTTGGGAAGAAGCTGCCTCCGGCAACCAATTCCAGACTTTCACTTGACCTGTTCCATCACCGGTGAAGAATAAACCACCAGGACCAACCTCAATAGCTCGAACCTCTTGCTTTGTAAAAATCTTGCCTCTCTCTGCGAAGCTGCACAAGAAATGGGTCGTACAAAGTGATCAATTCAGAAATAGCTCAACCTCCCCAATGAAAAAACGACAAAGTTGACATGTTCATCAATTCATAGTGATTTAAGGTCTCGTTTGGTATGAAGTATTGAAAATGAAAAATAAGATTGGAATTGCAATTGAGAAAAATCATTAAAATAGTATTTAGCATAAATAATTACCTATTACATGTAATTAAGCAAACCTATAGAGGTGAGATTGAGAAATACCACTTTCCCCCATGGTATTCCCCAATCCCACACATATGGGTTTGGCTAATCTCATATAACAAGCAATCTCTTATACTAAATACTCTCTTAACAGATTTGCTCAATCTCAATCCCTAATTTTTAATGCATCATGGAGGTTGGCATAAGATGGGTGTGGCTAAGCATGTCCAAGGGAACATTATGGAAATGGAACTAAGGGAAAAGTAAAATAATAAAAGTTGGGAGACAATTACTTACGAAGGCAGATCATAGAGGTGTACAGTATTATTGTTGCAAGAGCACAGCAAAATGGGCTTGCCTTGTGAATCATGCATCCCACAGAGTTTAATTACACCCTGAGACAGATCATACCAACATCCTCATCACAAACATAAACTAAAATAAATATAATGACATTGTGAGAAAGCAGTGAGAAGGTGAATCTGAGAACTATTATTAGTCACTGAGAGTACAAGCTGATATATAGGTGCATATGACACAGTGACTAGAGTATGTTGCAACAAGGTACAAACTAACAGTTTAACTAACTTCATAAATAACTCATAATACTTAACATCTTCCCTCAATTTGAACTACCCTTTTGTGACACCCCTCATGCCTAGATATTGTTGAAACTGAATAAAGGAGCACTGCAGAAGGGCTTTAGTTAGTCCATCTGCTACTTGATCAACAGTTGGAATATAACAGACTAGAAATTCTTTCTTGATGACTCTCTCGTATAACATGGAGATCCAGCTCCATATATTTGGTTCTAGTATGTAAGATGGGATTGGCAGGTCATCATTACTGTCCTCAGATTGTCATTTAACAGGTGCTGGTCGACAAAGATTCACATAAAGCTCTTGGAGAAGTGACCTGATCCACAAGACCTCAGTCACAACTGAGGCCATACTTTGATATTCAGCATCTGTGCTAGAATGAGCTAGTATTGCTTGTTTCTTTGACAATTTAGTAATCAAGTTAGAGCCAAAATAGATATAGAAGCCTTTAGTACCAAGTCTGTCATTGCAACTGAGGCCCAATCAGGCATCACAATAAGCTGTTCTATTGAGACAAGGCTGTAAAACCATCCCATAAGTAAGTGTGCCAGCCAAACAGCGAAGAATGCATTTGATTGCCTTCCAATGAATCAACAGAGGGTTCTGACAAATTTTATTGACAGCAAAACTGACATCTGGACAAGTGAGAGTGGCATATTGATGAGCTCCAACAATGTGAGTGATAAAGCTGTGGATTATCCATAACATCAGCGCCATCCTTCCAGAGTTTTTTCAAATCCTAGAGTCATGGTAGTGACTACACTATTGGCATTACTCATTTTAGCACCAGCCAAAAGGGCTGAGATATTTAGTTTGAAATGGCTGTATATCGCCATCTTGGCAACTTTTGACTTCAATGCCTAAAAATCAGTTCAAGGTGCCAAGATTTGAGTCAAAATCCATCGTCCAAGTCAGTAATTAGATGACGAATGCAGGAATGAGAGGAACCAGCGATGATCAACAAACACAAGTAAACACAAGCTCACTTGAGGTAATTTGGATAGAGAGGGATAGGGGCGGGGGAAGATCACATCTGCTTGACACAAAGCCAGATTTGGTGAGAACCCTTCCTAAGCACTCAAACCAAGGTCGTGGAGCCTGTTTGAGCCCATGTAATGCCTTGTTCAGTCTGCACACCAGGGATTTGTCTCTGCTTTCAAAACCAGGAGGTTGAACCATGTAACCTTCCTCCTTCAAGTAACCATTCAAGAAGGCATGATTAACATCAATCTGATATGCCATTTCTGAGGAATTGCAATTCTTAGTACAGAGCAGATAGTGACAGGTCGAATCACAAGACTAAAGGTCTCACGAAAATCGTAGCCCTCTTGCTGATGGAAACCTTTGGCAACTAGATGGGCTTTATACTTGCGAGCAGAGGTGACAAGATTTGTCTTTCTTCTAAAGATCCATTCATCCAGCAGCCAATTGCCTTGCAAATTTGGAGGCAAGGGAACTAGAGACCATGTACCATTCCTTTGAAGAGCAGCAAACTTTTCTTCCATTGCATTGCGCTAATAAGGAGATTGAAGGGCTTCTTCAGGACCATCCAACTGGAGTCAACAACGGCATCAAGTGCCTTAGGAACTTTTTATCATTGGATGAGAAGAGGTGGTGCGAGTAGCAAGAGCAACAAGTGGAGGAGAATTAGATGGAGGACTAGAAGAGGAAGGTGTAGGTGGGGTAGGCAATGGGTTTGTAGATGGATCGGATGATGATGAAGTATCACGGTGATTTGAGGAGGGAGCAGAAGCAAAGGGGGTAAGCTGGATAGTGAAGGAGAGTCAATTAGTAAAGGAAGAATAGCAGAGAGTAGAAGCTTCTAAAATAGATCTGGCGGTCATAGGAGAGATTTGCAACAAGGTTAAATATGGGAATGTGCTATCATTAACATATCTCAAACAATGCAAATCCTCAAACAGAGCCAGACATTTTTAACCTTAGTGCATAGGGCTAGGCCCAAGAAATCACGTTTTGTTCACTTAAATTCAAACTGAGTTGTAAGGCAGAGTAAAATGAAAACACATTTTGTTCAGAGAGACGGAATGAGCAAAGGCAAGATCATCATTCTTGTACTAAAAAGAGGGAAAGAACGGAAGAGTCAAGGAGAGACGCTGTGGAAAGATCAGAGGCTCTTGATACCATGTGAGAAAGCGGTAAGAAGGTAAATCAGAAAACTATTATTAATCACTAAGAGTACAAGCTTCTATATAGGTGCATGTGACCTACAGTGACTAGAGTCTGTTACAACAAACTATAACAGTTAATTAACTTAATGACTAACTCATAATACTTAATAGACATTAACCATTTTTTCTAAAGACTCCACCTAGCCTCAAATCATGCATAAGTATCTATAGATTACACCAACATGAAGATGACACATATCAAAACAAGATACTCAAGATAAGAAAAGGTCCACGCTCTGAATATATTATCTTCCTTTACCACGTTGATGCAGCGACAAGAATGCCAATATGGTCGCATGGAAACAAAAAGGTGGGACATAAACTTGTTAATAATAAATGGAACATAAATTTTTGTGACATACTGAACCAAACCATATGAGTAATCTAGGCATTATAATTTCATAGACATAATAGGCATAAGCCTTTGTAATCAATTTCCGCATCATACACATACCAAAATTGGTTGTCTTCGTTGCCGAAAATTCATTTCTTAACTGATAAGATTGACAACATGTGTTTACAATAGCTATACGTAAAAGTAGTTTTTCCTTAATGCAAATGGGATAGAAATTAGGAAGTTGTTTCCCTAAGACCACGAGGTATCATAGATAGTTCCAATTCAAATTAGACCAAGTAGGGTTAAATATAAAAGAGAAAAATGAACTCATACATACATCTTCCTCATTGTGAGTATAAGTAACTTCCAAGTTCCCACTTTCTGTAGCTACCCAAACCTGCACACAAAAACAGATGAAGCCAACAAAAATTAAATCCACAAAGTTAAAAAGCATACAGAAAATCAGCAGATAATGTGAAAGTTGACCCAACCTTTACTGTGTGTCCAATGAACCAGATAAAAGAAACTGGTCCCAGCAAAGAACAGACATCACAACTGAAGTATGCCCAGTTAAAGTCTGCAAACACTGCAATGTCTCAAGGTTCCAGACCTGCAGACAGAAATCAGCAAGAAGAAACGAATGGCATTATCGCAACAGATCAATTCACACTATCACATTGGTTTAAGGACTACAAAGCAAAGCAAACACGAAGATTATGCTTCTGACAGAATGCTTACAACTTTGTAAACTTACTCTTATTGTTGTCCATGAACCTGAGTAGAGCCTATTTGCTCCAACAACAAATGAAACAACAGGACCAGTGTGACCCTTAAGTGATGTAACAGGCTCAAAAGAGTTAGTAGCCGCATTGAACTTCCATGCCAATATAGACCCCTCATGCAAGAAAAGTACTTCACTTGCCAT